AAAAAAGAAAAAAAAAAAAAAAAAGATTATTTACCATTCTCAAAAGGAGCACATACATGACACAAAGGGAATAAAACTATAGTCACTTGAATTATTGAAGCAAATAATTAAAACTTATCTTTTGAGGGGCTGGCAGGTGGCATGGTGGCTAAAGGCATTGGACTCCCACATGGCTTCCGGCAATTAGAGTCCTGGACCTGGCTGCTTGCTTTCTCACTCTCTCTCTCTTTCTCTCTCTCTCTGTCCCTCTCTGGTCAAATTAAAAATAAGTAAATAAATAAATAAAGTTAAATAAAATAATTCTTTTAAAAAATTATCTTTTGAAAGGGAAAAAAAAATCAAGGGTGTAGAGGTCAAGTACAAAGTTCTGCAAGGCAAACCCATATGCAAAGGTGGTTGGTTTATGACCAGAGACCTCCTGAGTATGCAGGTCCCATGAGAACCCATGATCCTGGAGAGTGCTGTGTCTCTGTCCCTCTCTCTGTCTTGCTCTCATGGAATAAGTTTATAACCTTTAAAGAAACCTAAACTATTAAAGATAAGAAACATTATGCATCAATAATACTTCAGATTTTTCATAATAATTTATTTAAATACATTATTGTGATTAAACAAGGTGCCATCTAACCTACTGAACAAGGGTATTACTTTTCCCTTTTATGCAAACGTAGAAGATATTTCAAGTTAAAAGAAGAAACCCCCAAATATATTATTTGTTAGAAAAATACAGGCATATATAGAACAACTACAGAAATGCACAAAAACACTAATAATAATTGGCACAGATAAAATATACAAACATTAGTTAATAGTAAACTGACACAACATGTTACAGAATAAACCATGCCATTTTAGTTCAAATAAACACTTCTATCTCCATTCCTGTACCTATAACTTTATGTATATTTACCACAACTTAAACAGTAACAATAATATTACTAATTGGTATCCATTAAACCCTTAGTGAATATAAAACACTGCTAAGTATGTTCCATGTGTTTTTTGTATTTTATTTTTTCATAATATCACTAATGGTTAAATACTATTACCGCATTTTACAGGTGAAAAAACTGAGTCTTAGGAGTTTACGAGGGATGGGTGGGTGAGTGGGTGTTTTGTTTGTTTCTTAATGGGTGGGTGGGTGTTTTGTTTGTTTCTTAATTTGCTTGGGTTGGTTCCCTAGCAAAGAGGTTAAAAGAGCTGGATCCCATATGTCCAATTGCAGTTTGAATCCTAGTCTGGTGGCTTGAAAAAGCTTGTTGGGCACATATGCATGTGTGTCCAAAATTCTCAAGGGAAGGAGGAATGAAATTAAAAGGATTGTTGCATGACCATATATTATTCAGGAGTTCTCTCTCTCTTACATTTGCACTCTGGCCATTAAAAAAAAAAAGAATTAAATTAAATTAAAAAATAGAAGACCTAGG